GTTCACGTCTGCTAACCGTTGACAGCGTGCCATTGATTCGAGAAGAAGTCTAGGCGAAAGGAATCTACGACAGTGGATGTGTTTACATCAGTGATCCGAAGACGATCAGGAAAGTAGACATACATGCCCATCGCCTGGGCCCGGATTGCTTGGATAATATCGTCCTTCCTGTCCCCCAGAACCTCACCAAGAATTCCTCTTGAGATTACTGAAGATGCAAACGCAGCGACATCTTCATCGGACGCCCAGATTTCGCACATGCCGTGGGTGCCAAAAGTGAGAGGTATGGGGGTGCGCGAGGTGATCAACAGCTTGACACCTAGACTTTCGAGATCGTATACCAGAGATTTCTGAGCGGATGCATCGTTTGGCCGACTCGTCGAGGGCGTCGATGACGACGTAAAAGGGCTCTCTCCGGGCGAGTTCTTGCTGCAGGGCGGTTCTAGCGTCCTCTTGACTGGGAAGGCATGCTCTACTCTTGTATCTCTCGAAAAGCTGTGACACTTCCTTTGTCGACCTCGTGTTACCCAGCGACTCCAAAATTTGACTTAGTAGATTGAGCACTAAGAGTTCGAAAGTTTGGATATGCCGCGTCGCGGCACTATTGTAAATAAACAAAACCGTGGCACCTTGGATGTTGGCCTTGAGATCTTCGATAATGACGGAGCTGCAGCCGGCTGTTCCATCAGAGGCGAAGGTAAAAAAGAGCACCAGATAGTTCACCTCATTACGGTTTTACCAGCACCTGATACAAAAGTCTTTTCAGGATAAAGAGCTAAGACGAGTTAAGCGCCACGTACGAATACCAACGCGACCTAGATGAGATAGTCTTCCAGATTTCCAGCCCAAGTAGGCTTCCGAATCAAGGAACCATTGACCTGTTCCCGCGGTGCGAAGAGCTAGTGCATTGTCGTGTGCGATTTGATAGTCGGTGGTGTGCGACCGCAGATGTAGCACCATCCTCTCCCAATCGGAATTTGAATCTACATAAAACGCGTTAGGAACACGGGTGTGCCAGACACAAGTGGTATGTGGACCTGTGAAGTCATGGTGATGTATCGTCATATTGCCGTTATGGCACCAAGCATCCCGTCCCGCTTCTACAACGTTCATCAGATTCAGTACGCGACAGAAGGACGCAAGCGTGCACTCACGGATATTGGCATCGTTAGCCTCAATATCAATTCCGAGCGATGTAACTCCTGCGACTCCATCCATGAAGTGAATTCGCGTTCAAAGAAATGACAAGTGTCAGAGGTATAAGGTATTCATCAAGAGCGGTCGACAGCGCGAGAGGCCGTGGGAAGGATGCACGATATGAGCGCTACTTTGGCATGACAGTACAAGGAAGATGTGATTGAGCTCGGTCAACCTCTAGAATCTTGTCGGGTTCTGCCTTATAGATAGTGATATGATAGCGGGTGAAGCATATTGTTTATTCGCATTAGAGCGGGCTTGAGCGATGTGCACATCGTTCTTGACCATGAGATGGTGGCAAAGGAGAACGAGAGGTCTGTGTGGCTGTACAACATTCTTGAGCTTTCACCTCCAGCAGACCCCGGGTCTACCAAATCTTTACGCGTCCTGAACGGTTACTCCGTGTCATACAGGTTACGGAGAGATTATGTCTGACGGCTCTGTGTTCAAAGATATACCAGAACTCTTCGAGGTCAGTTCTCTGCCCTGCTACTCTCGACATGACGATGTATTGGGACTAATCACCCACATTCAATCCTGGACAGGTCGAGCTCGGAGAATCACTTGCTGCTCGGACAGAATCTCTATGTTGGTAGCATTTGCCTTGTTCATCTTGGTGGATAGCTATAGGCGCGACCGCGCTAGAGTTGTACTGATTGGCTTCCATCTGCAGCGACATTCCGCGAGCTCGGCCCTCCAGATTTATGCCATGTTGTGAAGACCTCAGGAAAGGGTGGTCAACAGACTGTAAGTATCACTGTTAAACGGGCTCCCGGTTAAAGTTGGCGTACACGCACTGTTTGGGAAACGGTGGACAGCAGATGGACCTGGTGCGCCGAATAGAGTCGCGTCATGGCTGGTGGTGATCTGGAGGAGCTGGAAGTACACAGGGACCGCGCAGGAGGTACTGGGCACGTATATGCGAAAGGATGTGCCAGCTTTCTGTATTGAATGTTACTCCGGACTGCGCTTGCTACCTTCACACGTATGCTTGCTAACTCCTGAATCTCACAGCAACTGGGCTCCTACCACTTCATCTCCGGCGTTGACGCATCTTCCTCCGCGTCGTTGGCCGCCTACATCAACTCTCTCACCTACGCTATCGAAGACAACTCCACTTGGTTTGCGAAGAGCACTGCGTACAAAGTTAAGAACGGTTGCTTCTGGTGAGTTGTACTGGTCAGCATACCGTATCCCTCTGACCCTGCACTTGCCACAGTTGCTTCAACGCTTTCTCACGAGTAGATGTGCGCGTAGACGTGAAGATTCCTGGTGGTGTTAGTGCCTACATCATTGATCTGCGTGGGGAGAGGTGAGATCATGCGCGTTTTGTTGGCTCGCGACATAGGCTAACGCAGACGCAGACACGAAGCGACGCCCGAAATCTGGCAAGAAACATACGTATCCGCATTACTCCGTGCCGTCCTGTACTCCGATGATCCCACCTACAACCTTGAAGCCTACCGGAAACTAGACCCCATCACTTCACTCGAAAGCGAGCTGCGATTCCTGCAAGCTGCTGAATCTCTGTTCTCCAAGGGTATTTGCGATCCATTCACACATTCTGTGCTCTCCTGCTGACACTCTCACCCAGGCTGGCAGGCTGGCTCCGACCCCGAAATCCAGGTCGCCACTGTTGTTTCGAATCACCTAACTGCTGGCATCATGAAATACTTTGGTGACAGCGGCCGATACCAACCTGCTGCCAACCTATTTGAGAAGCTTTCCGTTCGCGAGCCCGAAGTTTCGTGTCTCCTGGCGAGAAGCTACATCGGCATGAGTAAGTCCATCGCCATTCTACCCTCTACTCGATCTGACACTCTCTGCAGACGAGGAAGTCAAAGCCGTTCAGATCATGTCTCAAGCTATGAAAGTCACCCCCCAATCCTATACCCTCCTCCACGTCCAATCAGACTACCTTCGCTCCAAAGGCAGACACGATTGGGCTCTCCAGCTCGCCCGTCAAGCGGTCAACTGCGCACCAAGTGAATTTGTCACCTGGGAGAAGTTAGCGGAGATGTACATCGACCTGAAGCAGTACGAGAGCGCGCTGCTTACGCTAAACTCCTGTCCGATGTTCACCTACAACGGGAAGGATGCTCATCGCGCGTTGACCCCGGCAAAGGTGCATTTGCCGTTTTCGAAGCCCATAGGAGAGATTCTGCCGGACAGAACGAGAAACGACGAAGATGATGTAAGTTGTAACACATTGCCTTCCTCAGTCGATACTGAAGCTCACTCTCCGTCAGGCTGATCCCGCTCTCCTGCGACTACCCGCTCCAGCCCTCCGAGGTACATGGGCACGGGCCTACGCGCTGCTCACACGGCTAGTTTCGCAAATAGGCTGGGACGAGCTGCTGAAGACTCGAAGCGCTGTGTTCGTCATGGAGGAGGAATACCGGATGCAGAAGGCGCAGACAGATCCTCGTGCTCCAGAAGCAAATGGCGATGCTTCTCAAGATGCAATGGACGTCCACCCCAAGCACGAAAACGCATCCACGAAAGCCCTAGTCTCACCTTCAAGTCCTCGTTCGAGTTCGATCGGTGGAGATTCCAGCATCACCGACGAGACTGGCGACTCGTCAACAAGGGTCAATGGGGACGAAGAGTCATCTGCGGGAGCTGGCATCCCCACTATCAGGATTTCGACGGAGTCAGATCGTGATCAGAGTAAGGAGACCGGCGGTGCATCTGTGGAGGGCCTGGAAAAGCCTACGCTGGCCGCGGCTGGCGAAGAGGATGAGCAGGTCATTCCGAACTCTGCCTCTGGGGGTGGACACCACAACGAGGCGAAATCACCAGCGGCACAAGCAGAACCGTTCTCGTTCAGCAACAAACGGTTATGTGAGCGATGGCTAGACAATCTGTTTATGGTTCTCTATGAGGTAAGGGCTTGTAGTGTACCCTTTGTTGGGAGTCTTCGCTGATGCCCTCTCTTTCCGCCAGGATCTGCGCGTATGGACAATTTTCCGTGCTGAGGTCGCTCACTTCAAGACTCAACATGTTGCCTACCGGAAGACGGGGATGGAATGGGAGATCCTCGGCGACCTGGGATTGCGATTACACCATAAGGAAGAGTCCAAGGAGGCATACCAGCGGTGCTTAGACAGTACTAGGTACTCAGTGAAGCCATGGTCAAAGCTGATGGACATGTACTCGGACGAAGGCGATATCCAACGATGCATCCAGACTGCGATCCGAGTTGCCGCGTACCAGCATGCTGAGTACACGGAGATGACGGTGCGTCTTGTTTCTCATGATCTTGCGTTCCTCTTCTGATAGTTTGTTCTATCTCGAATAGTTCCCTACACTCATCGCGCGTGCGTTTTTCAAGCTTGGACAGATTCATGGGCACCAGAAGATCAGCTTCACCTTGTTGAGTATGGGTTTGCCCGAGCCGATACTCAAGATCATGGAGAGCTATCTGCACTACGGTCAGGTTTTCAAGGTGGAGGGGTACGATTTCTGAGAGTTCGGCTATTTACCTTTTCTCCGCGTTTTTTCTTTTATGTGGTGCGCGTCTTGCTCGCCAACTTCGCTAGTAACCTCTTTGATGTCAAGTATCCTGAATCCAATGGCTTCACTGTTACTCGCAAACGAGCGAGTTTCCTACTTGACTCGAAACTGCACGCGCTTGCCTAAACTGAGTGGTGCGCGTACAAAGGGATGCAGAGGACTACTGCAAAGCCGTATAGATCCTTTACTTCGGTATGTTATATGTGGCCCCATGGGCTTCAAAAACTTTTCAGCGTGGAGTGAGGAAGTGGCACGGAGTGCCGTACAAGTGATCTTGCCAAAAAGGATTCGGATACGGGGAATCGAACCCCGAGCTGCCGCGCACGCGCCTTCGAACATGAATGAGAGGCGGCAATGTTAACCATTACACCATATCCGACTGAAGCAGTCGGACACAACAACCGTTAATGCCCTGTTAATACAGACAGTTGATCATTCGCGAAACAGATCAAACTAGAGAAGTACACAGAATGGCGTAAGAAACTAAGGTACGGGTGCGTGTGCAAAACAGGACTTGTCGCGACAAGAGCTTGTAAAGAAGATATGCTGACCTACCCTCTTAGACTTCCGCGGCTCGGAACTTTGCTTCTTCTCGAGATAGAGCTAGTAGCGTGGATTCATTCTTTCTTGCGTAGTCGTCACAGTACTTCTGCAACGATTCGCATCTCGCATTCGCTGCGGCGTCCTTGACTATTGTTGCATAGAGCTCAGTAGGTATCCAATGCAGTTCAGAAATCCGAACGTACTTTCTTCTAGTGTGTCCGGCGTGAGAAGGGCCTGCTCGTGGATGTGCCAACCAGCCAGCTCCTTGAGGTCGTCAACATGCGCCAGATCTGCGTGCTCTAAAAGCCCTAACAGGTTCCCCAGAGGCTCCGAAGCTTGCTCCCATTCTCCGGTTCCCTGATTTCCATTGTGTCGGTATATACGTACTCTGCGTCAAGTGTGGGCACGTAATCAGGATCAGGATCTGCGTATAGATGAGCGACGTACCAATGTAAGCAGAAGCAATAAATCCAGTTCCCTCGATTCGGAACACACTCTGATTACTCTCCGCCATCCCAGATCCAAACGCGTCACGGAAGTAAGGGATTGACGCCGCCATGAATGCGCGATGACAATGTAAGGGTTCGTCTTGCGGATCCCGCGAAGGCAATAGTTCAAGATCGGTTAACTCCTCCTGCTGCCGCATTTCATTGAATACCCGTCGTACAGTGGACGCAGCCTCGGAGGATGCTAGAAGCTGTTTTCTCTGGTACTTCGCATCGGCGAGAGTTTGAACGCCTGCAGAGGGGAGAAGATCCCTGTGACCCAACAGGTGGCCACGTACGGCAGAGAGAGTCCCGGTGTCGTAACGGAGACCAAGAACAAGCTGTTCAGCGGAGTTCCATCGCCATTGCTCTTCCTCGGTTCGTCGACGTTTAGGAAGAGTGGTACTGCCGTCAGTAAAATGAGATGCTCGCGGGCCTCTGTGCAGTGCTCATCAAGCCACTTGTAGGTTGCGTTCAAATCGCGAAGCAACGCATCGCTCCCGGGATGATCTCTCATGGCCTTGGTCGCCAGCACACGCAAGTGTGCAACCTAGCACATACGCGGTCAGCTGAACAAAGCTTATCCGTGCTTTCATTGAGAGAGGGTGCTCACCACTTCGGATGCGTTGGGTGCTCCAAATCGCCACCCTGATGCTTATTTCAACACCGGTGGCTCGTCCCGTAAGCATCCTCGTTGGGTCCAACAAATGCTCTCAAAGGAGGGAAGTAACGCCGAATCAGGCGAGATGATTGTAGGAAGCGACGTGCAGTAGGCTGTGGGATCGTAAAGTAGGCCGTATCGCCTGTCCTCTCGACGAGGGATGAACGACAACGCGCCGAACCGTCGCCATTGTGAGGCGCCCATGGTGCTAATCGGAATGAGAGAAGGAAACGCTGTTGTGTACTGTTCATATATGGCATCAGCAGCAATCTTGTGTTCGTCGACCGGCTGGCCTAGAGCTTGTCGGCCCTCAAGCTCTGCGCTCAGTGTTTGAGCGATCATATTTACACGAGCACATCGTAAATCGCCTTCTTGTTCCTGCCCGAAGTTCTAGAGCCGCATAGTTCGACGTTGGTAATGGTAACGCGAGGCTCAGCTCAGACCTGTAGAAACAACCTGGCTGCTGACAAAAGTGCCAATGTCAGCATTTCATTGTGAAGACGAGCGGCCACGGCACTGAAGACATCGTAGAGCAGCAGATGCTGAACAGGAGGAAGAAGGGATGAGTAATAACATTCCAACGCTGCAGAAATACATCTCTATAAACCACCGTCAAAGCTTCGCGCTCCACCACCAACGTTGAACGGCCCGAGCACATACCATCGGACTGCAGCAGGCAGGTGCGCTGCTGAGTGAACGGGGGGCAGTGACTGGGCGATTGTGTACGTCCTCGGCTGCGTGGCGAGAATCGCACCCAGGGTGCATGTAGAGTACACCAGATCCTCGGTCGAGCTTCGAGTTCCGCGGGCATCCATAAACTCCATCCCTCCCTGCTAAGAAACTACGCAAGCATCGCCCCGAGCTTCCCTGACTTCCTAAGCGCACTCGTATCATCGCAACCTATCCCAACCACCAGTCAGATATCGACCAAGACAAACAGACAACAGCCCGAGAAACTTACCGCCTATATGCTTCTGCTCTGAACCCGACCAATCCAATCAGCCTTCCCTTTCCTTTCTCATAATATCAAGACGAGTGGGACGTACTAATAAAGACATTCGGCACCGTCCTCTGCCCCGTCTTATCCTGAAGATAACGTTGCATCATGCCTCCGCTCATATGCATGTCCAGGCTGCCAACGTCCCAATGCCATTCAGTTAACTTGCTAGCGAGATGGAGGAGGAGGAGGAAGAGGCTTACTAAACAACCTCCATCCCCACGTCCGGGAAATCTTTAGACAACATCTGTTTCGCGCGCACGCAGTGGGGACATGTAGTCTTGGCGAATATGACGATGGGGTGGCTTGCTATCGTTTGCTACGGGGCACAGTGAGTTCAGCGAAGAGAACATGAGTGGGGTGATAGGGATGCACCTCAACGGAGTCCTGTACGGCTTTGAGTTTCTCGGGAGAGGGGGCGGAGAAGGATGAGCCCATTGCTATGTAGTCTGTGAGTAACTTGAAGGTCGCGGTGTAGGTGTAGGTGGGCGTGGGTGGGTGTAAGTACACAAGACGAAGCTAGCTCGAAGCTCTTATATGTGAGCTTGACGTCTGATTCGGAGTTGGAAGGATGGATGTCGACGGCGTCATGGCAGGTTCTGTTCAAGGTGTGCTCCACCAGGGCGATCTAAAACGCGATCATGCATGCGCTTCCCGAGGCGACGAGAACAAGTGTTACAGCTGGAGAGTACGCTTATGACATGGATACACTACTACTTACACTACAGGCACACAGCCAAAAAGACAAGAACGAACGTCAGTAAGCGATACACGAAATCAGACAGCCGGAACGTCAAATCCATTCCAAACTTCAAACGAGCAACACCAAACATCGAAGTGTCCACTACACAGGAACCACAACCAGCCTATACAACTCATCATGCTCTCCCAATTTCGAGTTCAACACCTGCATCGGATCCTGCTCAGATCCCCGCCGCCTCCGAGCCCTCTCCTCACTCTCCTCCGTCGAGACGACCGATGACACAGACTGCGACCTCGCGCGCCGTCGCGTGGGAGACGAACGATTGTGAGGGGGGTCCTTCTGGTCTGGAATGCGACGCAGATGGGTCCGAAGAGCGACTGCGACGACTGCGCTGCGTCGTGGTCGTATGCGTCATATGGGTAGTCTTGCGAATCGGAACCGGCAAAGTGAACGCTCTCGAAGTCGGTGGTCCATCGATTCCCGTGAGTCGTTGGGAGCCTTTGGCTAGAACGACTTCAAGGTGGCGGGGGCCGAAGAAGTGCTGTGTTGCGAAAGCAACTTAGAGATACGTCGAGAGGTAGGGGAAAGGAAAGGGATCACTGGACGTACATGATTCCACCGCCTCACGACCGCTCCAACAGGTTTGACCTTGTGCGATTGGGATACCGCGTCCATGAAGAAGTCTACCACATGTCAGCAAGGTATAGGATTAGGATGACGAGGATGAGGAGAGGGACGCACCGACGATAGGCAGCTTATTCAGATTTAAAATCGGGTCGTTCACGGGGAAGAGATACTTCTCCCCTCTCGTCTGTCTCAACTCCACCGCTTTGTTTACCTCTTTCAAGAACCTACATTCCTTCCTCGCAGCATTACCACCCTGAAACCCACGCGAAGAAGGAAAACACGCACCAAGTCCAATCCTCCTCCGTAACATCCATCTCAGCGAACGGGTGTCGTCCTCGCGGCGACGGGGGCGGGTACATCGGGAATCCACTCGTGAGCTTCGTCTTCTTCGTCGTGAGGTACATAGGCTCGAAGCTCGATCGTGGGATGTCGGAAGGTGCTTGTCGGAAGAAAGATGGTGGGGAGGGACCTTCCCATTGTGCGGTGGTGACGTGGAATTGGCCACGGTGACTAGGAGCGACTGCAACCAGCGTTACATTCGGTTCGACGATGCGAAAGAGATTGGTGGTACGCACATATGAGACTGGGGGCGGATGGACCGGGTGATGCTGCTGCTGCTGGAGGTGAGATAGCTGACCTAGTCAACGGCCTGGTTGGGCCAGAACTGGGGTGGGTGGGCTGCTGCTGCGGTTGGGCGGCGTGCAGGTAAGATGGCTCCTGATAGGGTGGTGGTTCCTCTGTACTGAGTCTGGGTGCAGCGTCCCGACGATGCGCAGCTGTGGAAGTGGATGTGGATGCGGAGGCTTCACCCAGCTGCGGAAAGACAGATCGTTTCTCGGACTCGTCCAGCACAATGACCATGACAGACGGGAAGGTGTAAAGGAGGACAGCAACGATTTATACACTCGGAGGATCAACGCTTTGTGGGAACGCAGAGGTTTACGTCGAACGGCAGATAAGCGTATAGGAGCTGCGGCTGATCCGTGTGTTGTGGGGAAGCCCAAGAGGTGAGTGTGACACAGTTCATGGCGTGAAGGTGACAGCGTTGGTGGCAATCGCCTCGAAGCCAACGCATCCGCCGTCAACGACGTGTATTTAACCTCAAGCTTGTGCTTTCCATACCTGATTCATCAAGAAATAGGAAATGCGCGTGTGATAGTCGAAGAGCCACCAGGTTTTCAGCTCACTCTGCGCCTGGTGCGTACGCCTCTTGACCTCAGCCTCAGCACACGGATCTGCACGCCTGGCGCAGGCTCCCAAGGATTCCGCATGGTGTACTTGACACTCTAAATATCAGAGTTTCATGTCAACTGATAGATAGAGGCTCAGATCTCTGTTGCCCTTGGTGCTCACCTAGCACGAA